CTTTTTCACACATCTCATTTTTTATATTTCAATAAAACGCTATTTATTTATTTATTCATTTATTTATTTAATTTTTATCTTTTTTTTTTTCCTCGTTTCTCGAACCACCTAGCTTATATTGTTTCCGCATATTAAAACTCATCATCACGAAGAAGCTCACGCGCGCCGTTCTTATTTATATACTTTTTGTTTTTTTTTCTTCTTCTTCTTATTTCCCCCTTTTTTTTATACACTTATAATCATATCGTTATTTTATTATTATTATTATTATTATTTTCTTTTTTTCTTTTTTTTCACCGTTATTTCATTCGTTCCATTTAGCTTCTTCTTCTTTTTCTTTGTTTTTGTTTTGTCTATTAATTTGCTTAACCAATTTTACTTTTCTTAATATTCGTCCATTCTTTTTCGCAATTATTAATTGCTTTTTCTTCTTCACCTTATTATTCTTCTTCTTCTTCCACCTTTTTTTTTTATATCTATCAATTAATTTCTTTCTCGAAATTCATCGACCGCACACTCTCGAGATGATAAAAAGTTGTTTACCGATTATTTATTTATTCTCCTTTTTTTTCTTCTTCTTTTCTTTAAATAATTAAAGCTATCGATTATCTATCATAGAATTCTATTACAATATCTACAAGAGCCTAATTTAGATTTTCTTTATTTTTATTCTTCCCTTTTTATTTATTTTAAATCTTTTCTCCCTCCTATCATTTCCATTTCTTGCGCGTTTCTTATTTACGCTTATGTGGGATTTGTCTCGATTTAAATGTGTGTGTATATGTGTGTGTGCATTTTATTTCGTTTAATTATATTTTAATGTATGTATGTATGTATGCTCGTTCGTACGGGGACGAGAAAATTACAATTAAAGAAAAAAAGGAAAAAAAAAATGTTTCTATATTTCGTTTGTGAAAATATTAAAAAAAAAAAGAACAAAAATAATAATAACAGGAGAGTTGCGATCGATATTCTATTTTTTCGGACGAGATCAATCAAACGATCGAGATATCGAAAGAAGAAGGTTTCATTTATTTAACCCTTTGATTATAAAACAACGTGATATCTTCTCCAAAAAGGTTAGGTTCATAATTAAAGGGTTATAACTATAGATGATCATATTGAAATAATTCATATTGTTTCTATTGGTCTGTTCAAATCGTATGCAATTGTTGATACGTTTTGTATTTTTTTTCGTTGATTAATAAAATAATAAACAATTATCGCAATCATTTTTATATATATAATATTATTATTATTATTATTATTATTAATTTATACAAAAGAAATTTAATATTAAATTTTTATTCGATTTTATTGGCCATTTTTTGTATCTTTCCTTCCTTCTCTTTTCGATCATCTCATTTTCTCTCTCTCTTTCTTTCTTTCATTTTTTCATTCTTTCGTTTATTTTCTTTTTCTTAAAATTTGTTAATCAATCAATCAAATCTTTCTCTTAAAAAACAAACTGATAACCTTTTCTGTCTTGTTTTCCGATTATGTTAATCATTTTCCTATTGGTCGTCTAATTTCTTTTTCGTTTATTTTTATTTTCGTTCATTTGCGGACTAGAATTTAAATTTGAAAAGATTTAAATTTAATCTGTTATAATAATTACAATAGTTTGATTCGTAATATCGAGGATAATTTTCATTATTTGTCTTTCTCTGATTACTGGACATTATATTGCAATCATGCTATCTCTCTCTCTTTCTCTCTTTTAATCATTTCGATCGAATTACTTTCGTTCTCACACATACGCAATTTATAAACAATTTTTCTTTTCCATTCGAGGATATTTTTAATATAAAACAATCGATTACTTTGCTTCGAATCCTATTCTTTCAGACTTTTGTGAAACAGAAGGTCGCCATTTTGGAAATTAAAAGAAACAACCGAACGTCGAATTTTTCTTACTCGTTGGATTACGGTTGTATGTAATTCGAGAAATTACTACGTTAGGTTTTTCATTTTCATCGAAACTTTTATTGTTTTCTTTTTTTAATTTCTATTTATTTATTTATTGATACAATTCGTAAAGAAAAATTCGACATTACGTAATTAATCCTAACCTAATTGTAAAATATTTTGTTCACGGGACTCTCTCGCGATTGTTTTAAAAATCAACAAATTCTTTCTTGCCCAGTTACATTTTTTATTATTATTATTATTTTTTATTCTCGAATATACTTGGTATACTATGAGAAAGTTAAGATGTGTGCGCGTGTACGTTTGTATTTGCGTTTATGTATTTCGTTTTATTCGGTTTTTTAATTAAATGTAATTATAATATACAAGATGTATATGTGGTTCGTTTTCTTTTCTTTTTTCTTTTTCTTTTATTTCCGTTCATTTTCACCCTCACTCGCACGCACGCACGCACTCGCGTATGTATGTATATGTATGTGTGTGTGTGTGTGTGGTGTGTAATTCATTTTTTCGTTTTTCGTATCTCGAGTTGTTGTTTCTTTTTCTTTCTTTCGCTTTCTCTCTCTCTCTCTTAAATCTTTGTACAATTATTTACATATTATAATATGTGAGCTTTTAAGAAATCACGCTAATCGTTCCTATTCTCTCTCTTTCCCTCATTCTCATTTTCTTTCTTTCTATTTATTATTTTAATGCTTGCATTTCACATGCATTTAACATTCGTTCGTAAATTCATTCATTCTCATTTTTTATCATTCATACTAATTTTGTTCATCCTCACTCTCTCGTTCTTTCATTCATTTGCACGGATAATTATTTTTCTTTCCTCCCGTTTTTTATTTTTTACTTTTTTGTTTTATTTATTTATTTGTTTGTTTGTTTGTTTGTTTATTTGTTTCATCTCAAAACGCATATAAGCTCTATCACATTGGCTTCACAAGCCGTATTGTTTATCGCAATAATAACTCGATCAAATAAAATAGTAATAGAATAATAATAATAATAATAATAATAATAAAAATATAATAATAATAATAATAATAATTGTTTATATAAAATATTAGCAATAACGTAATCCTAATAATACAATAACGACGAATAGAAAAATATTCGTCCATTTTTATCTAATCTTTTGTTCATTATTTACTTCGGCCAACGATTTCACAATAATAAAAAAAAAAGAAGAAGACGAAGAAGACGAAGAAGAAGAAGAAAAAGGAGAAGGGAGGGGACAACAAAAAAGAAAAAAGAAAAGAATGAAACACTAATGCAATTATTATAATTATTTTCCCGATTAGGAATAATCTTACAACGATTTCTTGCATCATGCATCATTATTAAAAATTCATTACTTAGTTTTCTTTTTCCATTCTAACATTTTTTCCTTTTTTTTGGTATCCTTAAATCCATTTTCGCGATGTTATCATCGATCGTACCGAACAATTAAATCGGAACAGAAAAAAAAAAATAAAAGAAAAGAAAATCATCGATGATCATGATCATCGTCATCGTCATCATCATCATCGTCATCGTCATCATTATCATTCGTATAATCGACGTAACTATATCGATAAATCCGTTTATATAATAATCAATAATTAATAATTAATAGCAGTGATATTATTTAATAATAGGTATATAGTATATAATTAATTAATAATTAATAATAACATTGGTCTTAAGTGTTTCTCTTGTCACGTAAATTTGTATATAAATTAGACGATAAAAGCGAAGTACTTAATAATACAGAATTATTCATTAAAACATAATAATTAATAATATATAAAGTCGATAAACAAAGGGGGAAGATAAAAGTAAGAAAAAAAAGAAAAATGAAATAATCGAACAAAAAAGGTACGCGTAATTAGGATAGACAAGGACGTAATAACGTTAACAGTTTTTTCATTTTTTTTCTTAATTTCTAAATCCTTGGACAGGGTTTTAGGGGTAAGGGGGAGGGGGTATTTAAAGGGAGAGGAGTATAAACAATAACATGAATCACAATTATGCAATAATCGTTGATCGTTTTCATCGTCATCATCATTCTTTCACTTTCTCTCTCTCTCTCTCTCTCTTTGCATAATTTAGCATTAGAAATTAATAATAATAATAATAATAATAATAATAATAATATTAATAATAATAATATTAATAATAATAATCCGATCTAACAAACGTCTCGTTTATTTTTTATTTTAAACTTGGGAGATTGCACTGAGGCGAATCCCGGCCTCGTCCGTTCTCGAATATTATTAAATAATTAATTAATTAATTAATTAATCAATTATTTAATATCTAATATAAAGTCACATACATTATAAAAACGCATCGCGATCCTTTTTGTTTGTTTGTTTCATTTGTTTTCTTTTTTCATTAAGGAGAAAAAAAATCCTTACAATTAGGCTATTTCTTTTCTTCTCTTTGTCGATACTAATAGTAATAATAATAATAATAATAATAATAATAATAGTGTAATAATAATAATTATAATTATAATAATATTAATAATAGTATTAATATTAATAGTAATGAATAATACGACTCTAAGGATCGATCAGCATGTGATATTTAATCTTGAAACGAAATCGAATGTGGCCGGGGTTCCTTATACAAACAAAATTTGTTTATTATCTTGAGATAATAATTTTACAATCGAACGGTCGATTTTTATTTCGAAATTCAAAAACCCAAAAAAAAGAAAGAAGAAAAAGACTATAGAAATAAAAAAAAAATAATAATATTAATAATATTAATAATAATAACTATAATAAAAAAAGGACATATATAAAATAAAATAAAAATCGAACCAGTCGCATCGTTTTTACAGTCTTCCGATAACACCACGCACACACACAATCACTATGAATTAATTATTATTTATTTTGTTGTTGTTTCTCCTCACGTAAATGTTAATTTTTATTCTCACACCCCGAAGAGAGTCCCAGCATTATTTTATAAGCGCGAACCTAAACACGATCGAGTTCGAGTTCGAGTTTCTCGTTTGTTTTTTGTTTTGTTTTGTTTTTTTCTTTTTTGATTAAGCTCCCTTTTTTTTAAATCCTCTGTGTTTCGTCAATTTCTTTTTTTATTTTTCGGTTATCCAGCACACGCGCGCGCGCACACACACACACACACACACACACACCCACTCGTAATTCCCCTTATTATTCTCTTCGAATCATTATCATCATCATCATCATCATCATCACCCATTACTTTTTTTTGTTCGTTTCTTGACACAACAAGAACTTCCTATCGCATCCGTTATCCTCCTTTGTTTTTTTCTATTCTTTCTTTTTTTTCTTCTTCTTCATCTTTTTCTTCTTTTTATAAGTTCAACATACATCATTGTCGCGTAATCGATAAATTTTGTAATCCCTAATCTTAAATGTACGCAAGAAAAGAAAAGAAGAAAGAAGAAAAAGGAGGAAAGAAGAAAGAAAAAGAAAAAAACAAAAGATGGAGAAACGTTACGGTATCGATTTCTTTTCATTTCTTTTCTTTCTCATTTCCTTTTTCTTTTTCTTTTGTTTATTTCGCGAAAGTCTGTCGCTCATGGGGTTCATTTGTTTTATCTCACTAAAGCGAAACACACGAATTTATAGATCTTTTCGTTTGTTTGTTCGTTCGTTTGTTCGTTTGTTCGTTCGTATACCACCAGAAAAGTCCACTCAGAAGATTTTTGGTCGAAACTCATCGTGGATTTTAATCGTCCATTGTTTTTTTAAGTCGTCGTCATCGTCGTGATTTTATCGAACGCACCATACAAACAGTTCAATTGATCGTTCGATAATTATCATCGACTTGTGCACATATATATAGATATATATATATATATAAGAGATCGATTAGGTTAACCTTGAAAGGGTCGTTATCAAGGTTGCTTTTAGGTTTAATAGTCCCATGCTTCTTCGGGTTCGTGCTTAACTATTTCTTTGGGACTCGTATCCGTCGATTGTTGTTGTACTGTTTGTTGTACTTGCGAGGGTGACCTAGGTGACGTTACTGGACTATTTTGTCCAGATTTTGGACTGGGCATTGGACTGTCCCTGTCCGGACCATTGTTACCGGATACCGACGATACATCACTTTGAACGTCCTCCTCGTATCTGTCCTGTACCGGGGTAGGTTCAACCCTAATGGTTTCCTCCGTTTCTCTTTTAACACCATAGTCGTCCGTTTGCATAACGCAAACCCCATTAATGATGACCTCGTCTCCCGTTCGCGTTGGTTCCTGCCATTCAGGATTGACCCATTGCGGTGCTGCAGGTTTTCTTCTGTTAGACCTAACCGTAGTTGGTGCCGTTGGTGTTTCCGCCGGTTCTCTTTTTATGCTACTTGCAGAACCTTCGGAATCTTCGCTACCGAGATTGCTCATCGCATCTTCGACGTCCTCGTCTTCGAATTCTTGATTGGGTTCTCTTTTAAGCGCACTCATTGATAAATCTAAACCAGAACATTGTTCTTTTAACGCGTTCCCAACCAACGCTGCTAAGTTCGGGTTGAAGTAAGGTGAATATGGTATTGGTACGTTACCCAAACCCAACCTTTCCTTATGGATTTCTACCAATCGTTGATTCAACAGTAATCTGAATTGAACACGATCGAACGGTTGACCAGGTTCCCTAGGGGATTGTGGCTCCGGTTGACCATGCGGCGTTTGTTGTTTCAATCTCATTCGATGATTGTGAAACCAATTGGTTATAGTTCTCGAGGACAATGTTAATTCTCCCGCGAGAAATTCTATCGTGTTCACATTCGGATAAGGATCCATCGCGAACGCGAGCCTAAGTGCTTCTTTTTGTTCTTCCGAAAATAGTACTCTTTGCTTCTTAGCGGATGCAGGGCCCGGACCAGGCGATGCCGCGTGATAAAATTCAGCGGTATCGTTGCTGGACGTATCCGAACTGTTGTCGTGTCCTGGACCACTGCTGCGCCGTCTTTTGTTAGCCTCTCTTCGCTCGTTCTTCAAAGCTTGCAATCTGTCAACGTTGTGCGCGTCCGCCAACCACATTTGCATTCTGATGAATGGTTCGCGACCTTTTATACTCAACATATGCCATGGTTTAGGTTTGCTCAACAATTCGCTAACCGAGCCCTGCGATAAACCTAGAACTACTTCTCCGAATATTTTTTGACCAATGTTGTTAGCCAATAAGGCTTCCTTGATCTTAGTCGTGATAGTTTGCGTGTCGAGATCTTGGGTCAACGCTGCCATCTCGTAAACGCTCGAAGATATGTGTAAATGAGGTCCTCTTAAAGGTGACGGTGTCATCTGATGATGGGGAGAATGCAACGTCATCTGTTGCTGTTGCTGTTGTTGTTGTTTCTTCTGAAGTTCTTGCATACTGAGTTGGGCATGCGGATGATGCGGACCAGGTGGGGTCAACATCATCGGCAAAGGTGGTTGAGGATGTTGCGGAAGTTGCGGACTCTGTTGTGGTGGACCCAATTGCATTTGACTCTCTTGCTGATGTTGTGCCGCTGCTTGGGCCGCAGCCTGGGCTGCTGCTTGCGCTTTCGCCGCATTCTGCAATTGTTCCTGGACCAACTTAGTCGGCGGCATTGGTTTCATTGGCGTTCCGCATGCTGTAATTACAAATTAAAATCATTCTAGTGGTTTAAAACATAATCGTTTTATAGTCCGAAAGCTCGATTCGACATTTATTTCTCCCGCTGATCTCATATTTTTTCGCAACTGAATAATTATTTCTAAACGTACAAACATGCTTGAACATTACTATCAACAAATAACCGTATAACCTATTCGTTATCGGATTGCATACATATATATATTGTTTTTGTTCTTACGGCGTGCTTATACACACACTCACACACATACATAGAGATATTATTACGGAGCTCTCGAACTACGTTTGTAGGTAAAGTAACAAAACATCTATATTGACCTGAGTTAAACTTACGAGGCAGGCCGCCGTAGCCGCCGGTCCTCATCAGCTTCTCCGGTGCGATTTTATATTGACTTGCCACCAGTTTGTGTACCGCGTTGTCATCCTCGAGGAACATTTTCATTCTTATGAATGGTTCCCGTCCTTTTTGCGTCAACATATGCCAAGGTTTCGGACGTGCTAGAAGATCCGATACGGAACCCTGAGATAAACCCAGAACCGATTCACCAAACAAACGTTGAGAGATCGAATACTGCGACAATTGTTCCTTTACCTGTTACAAATAAATTCAAACAATAAATACATCGTTATATTAAATCGTACAAAATGTTGATAAAAATTTGGATACGTTTCTCACCCTCTTGACGATATCTTCGGTATTAAGATTATTGTACATGTCGAATTGTTGTTGAGTAATTGGAGGAAGAACTGCTTTTAATGGTCTTTGATTCGAAGCATGATGGGTCGGAGTGGACGGTTGGCTGATTAGGCTGTTTGTTATAGAGGCCATCCTTTGTAACGGACTGGCCGCAGCAGCGCCCGAAAAATCTTCACTGGGCGTCATTGCTGGAGGTAGTATAGAATTACCGAGAGGTGAACTCGCACTGGAACCACCAGGTGTCGATTGGGCTCCCGTTGTTTCTTGTTTAGGCCTGACCAATGAGAACGCGCTACCGGCGTGTCTCATAGCTTCTTCCATTTTTTCTTTTTCTTCCTCGGTAACACCGTTTATCATTTTATTCCTTATATCTATTTTTCCTAAGCTCAAATCTTGTACACCACCGCCGTTAGTCGCCAAGTGATGTTGTTGAAGAGCTTGTTGTTGCAGGGCTAACAAACCAGGTAATCCAGGTAATCCTGGCAAACCTGTTAGCGCCGAATTTTGTCCAGAACCGGCATTCAACTTTTGTAATTCCCGATGATAAGCATCCAATGCCAATCGGATATCTTCCTGTGTTCTTTCTATACCTTGGAGCCCTTGGGTACCGCTGAAAAAATGCGGAAACACCGCGCTACGATCAATCGAGGTCGTGTGCTGTCCTCATTAATAATCAATCGGAAAAACGGCCAAGTACGCGAATGACTTAACGAAAAAAAGAGAGAGAGAGACAGACATAGAGATAGATAGAATACACTGAATGAGTAAAAATCATCCATTGAGTGTAGTTAGTATTATTGGATTAACCAATTGGGTTTCTCAGATAAAAAATCATCCAGTTGAGATTAGAGTATTATTGGACGAACCAATCAGGGTATCTTACCTAGGAGGAAATTCTAGTGGTCCCCGTCGATCATCAACTCTCCTTCCCATGAGTTTAGTTAATTCTTCGTGATAAATCCTGACTACCTTTTCCGGGGGAATGTCATCGTTTTCGTATTTCTTCAGTCTCCTATTTTGACTCTCGAGTCTGTCCTTACTAAACGGACTCGGACAGCCAATCCTGCTCGGACTCTTACTGTCCGCATCGTTCGAGACCTCATGCTCGCCTCTCATTTGTAGGTGACCAGATTCCGAGAGGATATGGGCCAACCTCTCATCGCTCATATCCGGCGGACCACTTTCCTGTGGTCCACGCGTGAAAGGTGGCATTCCCTGCTCCTTGCCTGAAACATACTCTACGGGTGAGGCACAACTTGTGGTTTGTTCTTACTCGGTTTCATCTTAGGGATTTATAAAAAATACAATTATACACAGATAAATATATAATCAATCTTATATGACAGTAAACAAATATCAAATATATATATATACACATACGTATTATTATTATTATTATTATTATTATTATTAATATTATTAATATTAATTGGCGCTAGAAACTCGAAAGTTCTTTGCAAAAAATATTAAATCCTGCCAATAATCACGCGTCCCTGTTAAAATCTTTATTCTAATATTGTCTTGAGTCAACCCAATGGGGACCTTTCCCCATTAGATCTACCTCATAGTATATTTTAAATACTATAAAATCTATCGTTTATCTCGTCGTCGTAAACAACATTCTAACACATTAAAATTGTAATCCGACATTGTGTAATTTTTCATTCCTATAATATAGTCATTGATTTACGAACGTGAGAAGGGGGTAAGAAAAAAATTGGTTGAACCAGAGCAGAAAGTATAGTTGATAGATAGGTCCAAATCCAAGGAAAATCCCTTTGGGCGATCCAAGGTTCGATCAAACGCGGAAGCAATTAATATGAAGAAGAATCAATAGGACCGAAACGAATGCCGAAGGCGGGATGCGTGGAACCCGTCTGACGATAATTAAAATATCCTCTTGACAGTGGCGGCAGGCAGGCAGGCAGGCAGTACCTAGCCCTTGCGGTTCTTTGGTAGCCCCCTTACCCTTACCCTTACCCTTACCCTTATCCTCCACCCCTTTACCACCCGTTTTCACTCTTGCCTATCTACCCAAGAGTGTCGTCCTCCTACGTGTTTCCCGTCTAATTGACCAATCAGCCGCAAGATTCAGACGAATGAGCCATCGATCACGAGTTTGATTGCTCCCGCATGCTCGACGTTTACGTCGTGCAAATTCGACGCCTACCGCGTGATTTCGCATTCCTTTTCAAGAGAATGTGTATGTTAGTATGTGTATGTGTGTATATGAGCGCGCGTGGCTCGTCAGATGGAAAGAGATAGAATTAGAATCGGTGAAAATTTGTATTTATGTTTGTGTGAGAACCTGAGAAGATGTTTTAACACATAGGAAGCGCGCGAATTTACTACCGGTACGATCATCGAGCAAAAGCAATCTATGCTTGTGAATCGTTCTCGAAATTATGTGTTCGAGGATGATTGCAGACGATCCATCAAAATCTGTCGACTCTTCTTCCTTGGCTCGATGTATATTCTCTAACATAGACAGATATTTCATGACTTTCACTCTAACTTCCACAAACAAATTCTTACTTCTTTTTTCTTATTTTTATTATTCTTCGTGTTTAAAAAATATAAGACCAAGTTTTTGATTTTATTTTGGTTCACATTTCTTAACACTACGTGTACTTTTATTTTTAATAAATTTATTATTAAATTCGACCAGATATAGTTAGCGACGAATTGTCTGCAATGTTTCGGATGCAATTTGTTATATAGATCGGCACGTATTTTTTGAACGATTGAAAGATATGATATACATTGTTTTTGTTTTTTTTCCCCCCTATGAATTTTTGACGGGAATTTGGGGGTAAGAAATTATTTGGTGTATTTAAAGTAAAAGTATTCGAAGAAAAGTGTAGTAACATTGTTTGAAAAACTTTTCATCAAGATAGTCTAGCGTTTAAACTTTCAATTAAGATTCTTGTAAGATTTCTTCTAAGAGTATATATATAAGCTAACAAGAATTTCAATAACAGAATTTAATAAACATAAAAACAAAATATTACATTATAATATCTAAGATAATTCTTCTTTTTATTATCTACTTTTAAGATGACAACACACGGAGTAAACTTCTTTTGGCAAGGAGTATTAATGATTCACATCATGTTGCTATAAGAAACTAGCAAAAGAAAATCGGTTGTTACCGATGCGCATGAAACTTGGTGGTCCAGACTATAAGAAAAAAAAAAAAACAAAACACAAAACAAAAAAGCAAAAGAAAAAAGTTCCTTGAAAGAGATGCACACGACGACATCAACGAGGTTCAAGAAAGGGTGGGATTTAGAATCGTAGGAACGAACGGATCGTGACATCTTTCTATGTATGCATATGTGGTGCATTTATACGTGTACTTGTATGCGTGTGTGTGTATGCCCTGTACGTTAACAGCGAGCATTGTCGCAACGCTTGAATTCGTGCCAGGAGACTTCGACTTATGCCAACGATTTTCCCTTACCATCCTTCGCACCCAACTTACCCAACGTACTACTACTCCATACAATGATTTTCTCTTAGCAAGAAACTATAGATATACATTTTAATGCTTAAACGTACGACTCCTAAGAATCCTATCAATTTCCAAGATCATTCCTCTATGTGAAATGTAAAAATGAATTTTTGAAGTTATACTTCTTTTGGTGCGTTTAGGAAAAAATGATAAGAGTGAATTTTTAAGATGCTTATGCACTAAATAAAATTTAAACCCTGAAGTTTGTTGGTATTTACAATGTACAGCGATTTCACATTAACGGTATGAAGTAAGTCTGATATTTCTATTTACACAACACGTGTTTTATGCCTTAATTATACGATGCCAATTTTCTGATTTAAATCCAAGAATACCTTTATATATATATAAATACTTCATAAAATATATATATTTAAATACTTTACCGAGTAAAATATATGTATTATTTTCTTTTTTAATTGAATTAATGGTGCTCTGCCTCTCTTTTTATAATTTTTATATTTCATACGTAAACTACATTTTTAAATAGTTTTATCTAAGTGTGCAGCTTCACATTTTTTATCTTAATCAAAGACCATAACACATCCAAGGGAAAGACTCCATTACAGCATTGGATCTATGCATAAAAATTTCATTTTCCAATAGTTAACGACATAAAGACTTCTGTAAACTATTGTCTTCTTCGCAGAGATTTCATGTAATTATTATGCGAATAGAATGCAGCTGCAGTTACAAGGAATAAGTAAAACATGAATCTGTTAAAAGATAAAATAATAATGTTGCTCTTCTAACAGAAACAAATAATATAATTCTTTTAAAAAATATTTATTCT